CCAAGCAAATAGTTCCCTTTGGGGAACCCAAGGAAGCCACTTTCCAGGGTTTCTGACAAGCCGGTACGACAGGTGTCTTTCTTCCAGGGCAGGGCGAGTCCGTGTTGTCGCAGACTGCACTGTGGGCTCAGACACCATGAGCAAGACTTGCGGCCAACGCTAGTTCAGGCACTTGGGAGAAGGAACGTCTCCCAGGCATCTTGCCTCTGGGGCAGCAGTTGGGCAGGAACGTCCTGTCCTGGGTTGTAAATGCCGTGAGTTCACAGTAACTGTGCCTGACACACATTATAGCCAGGGTCCTATTAACCTACTCATTAAAGACATTGTTGTACTCCTCCAGTGTTAAGCTATAGCCATGTTAAATGTCACACTGCATTTATCCTCAGCATCAGAGACCTTGTAATGTCTCTTTATCTGCCTTACCTGTTAGTGCATATTTTTACTTTTCTGATATTGTAAAGAATATACCCAATATGTAAATGAATGTTCTATAAATCTTTTGTATAGTCACTTCCTCTGCTCTTTAAATATCATCTCTATTCAGAGTATAATAAAATTATGAACTTGGTAAGCCTCAGCGAGACAGGCATTTGTGTGCCCCAAACTGTGTGTTGTGTGTGTGTCTGTGTGTGCCCATGCATGTGTGTGCATGAGTGTGTCCATGTGTCCATGTGTATGTCTGCATGTGTGCCCACGCTTGTATGTGTGCCTGTGTGTTTATGGATCAGTGGATTCGGTTATAAATTCACTTATATTTTGTCTGCAGGAATATATGTGGCTATTTCAAAAAGTTCGTGGAAAAATAGAATTAAAAGGTAATACAAACCTTTCCATGAACTTTTCAAAGACAACTTGCATTTGAAGATTTCTGCCCAGAGACCTTTGAAAAATTATATTCAAAGATTTCTAACAATTACGATGCACAGTGTTAACAGGTACTGTATGGATACACTCCCCCCACACCCACACACTGACTGCAGGAGCATGTCCATGGAGTGGACCAGTCCCTGATGGGACCTCCCAGTGTCTACCAAGGTGGGCCCCAAACCTGAATATTGGAACTCCAGTGGATCCACTTCCACTACAGCAGATGCTGGAGACAGCCCCGTGCCGCCCTCCAGACCCTCATGCAGGGTCCGTCTCCAGCTGAGGCTCCCCCTCCCTGGGGCTTTCTGCCCTCTCGGGCCTGCCCCCTCCTTCCTGAGTTGGGTGATGGGACACAGGACTGCCCTCTAACCTTGTTCCCTCAGCTGCAAGTCAGAAAAGAAGCTACGGTTTGAGGCTGTTGCAGTCATGGACAGACAGTAAAGATTTCACCTAGCTGCCATTCCCCCAACTCAAAATTCCCTCTCTGTGCTGTCAGCACCTGGAGGCTTTCACTTTCCACTGCGAGGAGACACACAGGAGATCGTTTTCCACCCCAGGACTCTGGGAAGGAAGGAGGACTTGGCATGTTCCCGGTTTTGTTGCCCAGAGCAGACAGGAGAGTGGGTGGTGGCAGGTTACAGTTTGTACAGCAGGAAGCTCCTGTGGCCCTTGAAGCCAGTCGGTGTCTGGGTTTGGCCAGTGTCACAACAAGGTGTAAGGTGGCAGGACACTGACTTCACGGTAGTTCATGGAGTGCACTTTCCAAGAACACAGTCCATATTCGCCACAATTGCCAAGCTCATAGGACATACACATGTCCCTAGATCCCTGGTCAGAGCCAGACCAGAGTACTATTGGAGGCACCCAGTGGCCATGAGGCCTTTGCTGAATAGACTCCTGCCACCTGCTGCAGGAGGGTGTCACAGGTTCCTTGTTCACCTCATGGGGATCTATTACATAATGGTACCTCGGCGCACCCATTAGGGTCATCCATCAATCATGGGCACCTCAGCCTACCCACTTGAGTTCATCCATCAGTTATGGGCACCTCAGCCCACCTACTCAGGGTCATCCATCTATTATATAATAGCACCTCAGCCAACCCACTCTGGGTATCCATCAATTATACAATGGGCACCTCAGCCCGCCCACTCAGGGTCATTCATCTATTATGGGCACCTTGGCCCGCCCACTCAGGGTCATTCCTCTATTATGGGCACCTTGGCCCGCCCACTCAGGGTCATCCATCTATTATACAATGGGCACCTC